CAAAATTGCATCCTTGTCTGATCCAACAGGACAAAGTCGCAGTTTGAGAGTTGTGGACGACAACTCATGATGCAGCTCAAGGTCTTCCTTTTGACGCCGAGCTAGTTCAACGAGATCAATACCCTCGATATAGTTTATCGAAGCTATTCGAGATAGTGCGTCGGCTGCGGAGTTGTTTGCTCCAGAAATGTGGCGGATGTCTGACGTGAACTGGGAAATGTAATCCAGCTGTCGCGACTCACGAGGGGAGTATTTGTCAGACGCCGAGCTGAGGGAAAACGTTAACGGTTTGTGGTCTGTGAAAATAATGAAATCACGACCTTCCACAGAATGTCGAAAATGGCGTACAGAACAGTACATGGCTAGGAGTTCCCTACCAAATGTACTGTATCTTGTTTCCGCGTCTTGCAGCCGCCTCGAGAAAAAGGCTAACGGTTGCCACTGGTTGTCAGTCAACTGTTGCAAAACTGCTCCAATTGCTGAATCAGATGCATCAACAGCAATACTCAGAGGAGCATTGGGGTCATGATGCATAAGCATGGTTGCGTTCGAAATGGCTTCCTTGACTTTAGAGAAAGCAAGTCTAGCCGCGTTGTCCAGAGACACGAACTTCGCAGTTCCTCGAAGTAGATCTGTGAGTGGTCTCATGACAGAGGCACAGTTAGGGATAAACCTTCGGTAATAACTTACCAGGCCATTGAAAGTGCGGAGATGTTTCACAGTGGTCGGCTCTGGATAGTTTGTGATAGCCGCCACTTTATCTCTCAATGGGCGTATACCTTTGTTGTCAATGGTATGCCCAAGGAAGCTGAGTGATTCAACTCCTATTTCACACTTCTGTAAGTTAACTGTGATGCCATGTTTTTTGAGTCTTTCGAATGCGAGGTCCAAATGTTTAAGGTGTGTTTCCTTATCTGGACTCGCAATTAGACAGTCATCTATGTAGACATGAACAAAATTCAGACCACGGAAGACGTCGTCCATAAAGCGTTGGAATGTTTGTGCTGCATTCCGAAGACCAAAAGGCATGCGCAGGAATTCAAACAGGCCAAAAGGAGTAATAATGGCTGTTTTCGCGATATCTTCTGCTGCCATAGGTATCTGGTTGTACGCTTTGACCAAGTCGATTTTCGAGAAAATGTTCATGCCGCATAAGGTTGCGGTCAAGTCGTAAACGTGAGGTATAGGGTAGCAGTCCGGAGTTGTTTTGGCGTTAAGCCTTCGGTAATCACCGGTCGGACGCCAGTCGTTGCTATCCTTTTTGGGCACCATGTGCAATGGCGATGCCCAAGGACTGTTTGACGGTCTGATAATGCCCAGTTCGAGCATATGGTCGAATTCATTTTTCGCCGTTTGCAGCTTATCGGGGGCTAAACGGCGCGCTTTGGATGCCACAGGTGGACCTGTGGTTGTGACGTGATGCATAACATTGCTGGTTATGCACGGAAGAGTGTGTTTCGGTTGTTGTAACTCTGGATATTTCTCCAGAACTGCCTGGTAGGACGCGTCGCCTGATTGTTTAGTCCTAACGATGGCTAAACTCGGACCTACATAGGTGGTGCCGCCAATAGATAACTTTGTGCTGTTATCTATCAGTCGTCGACGGCGAGCATCTACGAGTAGATCGTAATGGTTTGGCAAATCTATGCCAATGATGGGCATAGAGACGTCTGCCAGGAGGAAGATCCAGTGAATAGGTTTGCGTAAACCTAAGTTGAGGTAGGCATACCGTCTCCCGAATGTCGCGATTGCCTTGCCGTTGGCTGCTTGAAGATTGAAGGATGGGTCGAGATGACGCTCCTTTGTCGTTGCTGGAAGAACGCTAACTTCTGCGCCGGTGTCGACGAGGTAGCGGACTTTCGTTTTAATGTCGGTGACGTAGAGCAAACGGCTTTTTCCGCCGGCTACGGTTGCCGTGAGCACGTGCCGGCGTGACCGTTTCCCGAGTTTGTGTCCTTCTTAAAACGGCATGGTTTACGACATTTTCTGGCTTCATCCCCGTAAGTGTTATGAAACCAGCACCATTCAGGGTTTTCCACCCTGTTGGGTTTCGTTTTAGGGCTACCACGCGACTTGCTGCGATGCGCCAAGGTGCGTTTCTGTGAAGTGCTACGTGATCTAGGACTTCGAGATCGTAGCAACCGTTTCACAGAGTTGCACAACTTGGTCACCTCTGAATCCTGGCGCTCTGGTTTGTCGCAGATAGAATATACGTTGGAGACGGGTCTGCTGGATATCTCCAGTATTTTATCTGCTGAGGCTGCCAGGTCGTCGAGTGGGACTGACTGGAGTGTCACCAACACGGTTTGCACCGGTTGTGGTAGTTTCGAGAGAAATAGTTCTCGGAAGAAACCATCGTCAAATGTTCGTGCACCGATTACTTCTCGCATGCGTGCGAGGACTTCAGTAGCTGAGTGGCTGCCTAGCTCGATGTTACGAAGCAATTCGTCTAGACGTTGGCGATCTGTGAGATCGCTTTTCTTCAAGAGTGCGGCCTTTAGAAGTGCATAAGGGTCACTTACTTCAGGATTAAACATGTTTGCTGTAACATACCTGTTTAATTCTCGCGGTAGTGAACGTATGACAGCAAGAAATCGAGATTGAGGATCTGAGACACCCTGTTCTCGAAAATCGGCCTCGGCATACAGAAACCATGTTTCTGCATTGTCTGGCCAATATGGCACGAGTTGGATCGTGTTCGAGGTCGGCTTAATACGAATAAGCTTGGGAGTGTGGTCGGACATGAGAAAGTGTAGTAAATGGATATATAAATGTTATCGAAATGAAAACAATAAACAAATATAAAATGGAACAGGCTCACCAATTCAATACTTCTTATTGGTCGGGATATGTGATCACGTCGGGATATTTGATCACGTCGGGCTCACCAATTTAGGATTTGTCCTGGTGCGAACTTGACAGACGCAAAGACCAATCACTAATTATTCGAACTTGTTATATACCCACGAATACGAGACCAAGGAAGAACACGATAGCGTAGTCGGATGGAATAGTATATTTGGATGGTTATGCCAAAATACCGATGCGTTCCAACTAACTGGCTAGAGAGTCGAATACGAGCAATGCAACGTAACACGACAGCGTGCCAAATGGCCAGGATGCTTGACCGGGTGCCTTCAGCTTAGCGAGTCCAGTTAAACTATCAAGGTCAGCATCAATGTCGAAAGTCGTCAAACCCTAGGCAATTGATTTTGGGGAGGTGTGTGACGCTACAAGCACTACAGTCTTGATGCAACGTGTGCATTTGCAGTCACATTTGTCGATCACATAATGACTGTGTCCTTCATGAAAGGCCATTGTACACCCAACTGCCTTCACATCCCATGCCCCCGCATAGTTCCATATCCATAATGTGCCGAGCAATTCAATGGAGAAGGCAATTACGTGGATGTTTCTTCTGGTGCATGCGGCAGCACCCAACTCCGTGGTTTTTTCGTTGCCCTGGGGTAACTACTACCTTTATGAGGCATACAGTCCACATATACCGACCAGACCAAAGATTGACACTGATGTAGCCCAATGCTGCTGGATATCCTACTGTCATGGCACACCTCACTTTATAGAATCTAAGAAATTATGTGTCGATGGGGATACTTGTCACGGTCGGGAGTGTATATCACTTCCCGGAATATGAGTCGACATTCTTGGCCACATAATTGCAAGATTCTCACTTTTTACACGTGACTTACCCTGTTATTAAAAGAAGAACACACAAGACGATTGAATAGAACGGGGACCTACAGAACTGATACTGAATAGCTCCTTTCTTCTCTACACTGTTGTCTACAACAAACACCATAGTCCATGGTGCCTCAACCACGACAGTCGCAAGACTTCAGAATAACCTACACGTCCATCAGCCGTTCTCGGCGAGTTACACTGCACATCACAGGGAAGCTGCAGAAACTAATGATAACTAATTGATAAAGTGGGTGGCTAAAAAACAAGCCTCATAATTTTAGTTACAAACTCTTCCTTAGATGTGTTTTATGTAGAATCCATACTAACACGTGGAAACTTTTCGTATTGTAATGTCATTTATCGAGTTGCAAAACTAAGCTTCTCTTCTTGTCTCTCGTTGTTTAGTACATACCACACCGGCCCTGTCTCTCGAATTTCTGCAGGCAGTAGATCTGTGCCACGAATCTCTAAACATTCTATGAACTAAACATGTCATATTACTAGGGTAGATCAGTTCCCAGAAGTTCCGATAGTCGTCGTACGTCATTGGCCTCCCGAACCGTACGTCAACCATATTAATAATGTCCATTCCTTTCGGTTAGCCGTAGAATCCTTCGCTGTTCACCTCTGAGTCCTCGGACACTTGGTTCCACAGACATCGCATCTCTGGCGATAACTTGTGGTTGCGTATAGCGTTAGCAGGCTCTACGACTTCATAAAGCCCAAAATTAAGTTTAATTCCAAAGGCGGATGCGCGACCCAAGAAGTTAGATGTGTATTGTAAATGTAATGGTTTTCATTACAGTACTTAGTGTGATTTTCGCTGCTTGCAGCCCCTGAACTCCTCCACTGACTAACATGCGACAAAAATAGCATACTGGCACTTATATGCCGAGTCTTCTTTAGTGTTCTTGTCCCTGTTTCTGCGAGTATCACCAGTCCTATACAAACTGTCGGTTTCCTTAGCATTTAATGATGACTCCATTAATTAAACAGTTCACGACTTGGAATCGTTCGATGCACGCTTCACATTATTGCCTTGTTCGTAAGTTTACATTCCTCATAAGTTGTCTGCATTCGGCTACTAGATTTACTAATACAACATTCAACTTGAAGAACGTTTTGATGCTTCTTTCCCAATACCGGTTGTTACATATATGCTTCTACAAAGCGCGAGAACTAAACCTAGAGATTAAAAAGATTAGGAACTAGTGCTTTGGCTTTATTGAGCACTATATCGTACTGAGCAATCAGAACGACGACATTTAACACTTTGTCTCATTTACGCGAAGTTGGCTAGTGGGTTTTGGTGGTAAGCGTTACATCCGGTGACTAGCGCACGTGAGTTGGTTAGCACGCCAATTTTGGTGGCTGGATTAGTAACCCAAAGTTTGAATGCTATTAGGAACCATAATTCATAAATATTTTACGGGTATTTTTCCAACTAGTCCATATATTGAAGTCCTAATAGGGTCACTTAAGTCGTAAATATAAGACAACTTGACCTATTTTAATGTTCCAGTGACTTAATCTTTGGCGTCTTCTAAAGTTTAGACATTTTCACACCTAGACTTTAAAATTCAGTCTCGCATGCACCCTTGTCTTCTTTGACATCTCTTTTTTCTTACCCACTTGTTCTCTTCATGCTACTGTGAAGTGTGGCAACTTGCACGTGAGGTTCTGCGTTTACTTATCAACCATTTTGGCAAGAAAACAACCGATGGCTAGTGAAGTCATCATCGAAATGCTGTCACCAACCACATGCACGTGCGTTCAGTAGGCGATGATCCACACCTGTCATGTGCGAGCTAATAATACTACCTGGTGCCCGAATCTCAGGAGTTCTAAAGGGGTTCGAACTCCTGATCCATTGGTTGAAATCAACTGCCTGACCTAATGAACCACAACTCCATCATCGGAGAGAACGATTTACTGATAACCTTTCACAATAGGCGGCTGGACCGTCGGACAAAAGCACAGTTCAACTGGTTGACGACAGCGCCCAACCCCGACGTTAACGGGACCCTGGATGTTAGTACTCCAGCCATTCTCGAAGTTCAAAATGTTTTTTAAGACCTGAGATGATGCGAAGTCCCAGAACGTGATGGTTTGCCGTAAACATTTTTTTAGGGCTGCAGTGAAAAAATTACGAAGTAGATTAAAGGAGGTCTTAGCTCTGGTGTGTGGAAATTACAGGTGGTCCTTTCAGGCATGATCGGACCTCAAGGAAGAAGTGTCCCACCAGAATAGCTCGTTGAATCATTGTGATGTGCAAACTCGACCACCACATCGAGGTAGCAGCTGTCGGTTGTGGCAGCACTAATTGTGCATAGCGGAGTCATCGTGGGGTTTGTCGATGAGGTTGTAAACTTAGGTGACTTGGATGTATGTTGCGCATATCCAGGGACCACACACCTCGATGAGCATATTGGATTGAAAAATGGGGCCAGGGTCGTGAGGTCAATACTTGGCGATAGTCGATAAAGTCGACATAAGCCATGTAAAGGAGTGTAGATTGCCTGGTTGGGATCCTCGTTGAAAACTCTTGGCGACATTGCTGGACATCAGTTTCAATGGTCCAGATATATTTTGTCTTAAACATCTTAGTAAGTTTGAAGACTTTCGCTAACGTTTGTTTTTCAAATTCCTTCTCATCCCAAACACTCGTGTAATTTTGTCACTCTTCTTCCATGCACCTATTCCCTGCACGCTGTTGTGAAGTGTGGCAACTTGTATCAATGCAGTTGACTTCATCTGTCTGTTTGTGTAAATCTCCTTGTGCAGCTACTGAGGCTGAGCCTACCGCCTTTAGTTATATTTGTTATTACTTCACTTCATTTTGCCTTTTGAATAGCTACGACTAGATGGTGTTTACCTGAAGCGTTATCTTAGCCCATGTAATCATAAAATGATGTTATCCTAACAGTGGATGCTTGCTACTAAGCGACTTAGCTGAGATACTTGCATATCAATTCAAGGAAATCTGTGTACTTGGTTCTACATGCATTCGGGAGATACCCGGTTAAAGATATTGATATATCTTCTGGACAGTAATATCGTGTCTGTCTAATTTTAGTGCCTGGTATCTATGAATGTTCGTTTGCGTACACATATAGAGTTGAACTGTAATAACAGCTTTAAACACATAACATTACTGAGTGAACTAAATAAGTCAATCCTAACTACTCACATCAGTAATCGCAGAACCAACTTGTGAAATTAACTGCCACCAATTTTATCGAATTCCTCCAGTTGTAATTTATTTAATTGGGTGACAAAATAATCAATTGATAGAATACACTGCTATTTTATGAAATTTCCTATTACTTTTCAATAGCTGTGTAGCCTTTATCGTTGAAGATTTTAGTTCCTAACTTGGTTAACTTTTTTATGGTGAAATCATTAACAATGCTTACATTTTAGGTTGGAATTCAAAGGTGTATGCATTCAAAGGAGCCTGAATAGTTCATTTGAAGCTAGTTAATTATGTTTGCTTCCTTGAAAGTTTGTTCCGCTTCTTACATATTCTGTTATGCACTAGGGACTGTCAGCGATAGTGACTGGAGGCTCCTCAGGACTTGGATTGGCTACAACCAAAAAGTTATCATTTCCAAATCTCAATTCTATTTATTTTCAGACTGATTGCTGAAGGGTGCAAGGTGTTAGTGTGCGATCTACAAAAGTCTGCCGCATTGTCAGAATTAGACAATGACTGTGTTTTTTGTGAAACAGATGTAAGTTCTCATGTATATTTAGAAATGCTTTGGTTTCATCATTTGGAGACAGATTTAACTGCAAATGTCTTTGTTTTCACTAGGTTAGCCTGGAATCTGATGCAAAGAAAGCTGTTGATTTGGTTAAGCAGCAATTTTCGAATCTCCACATCCTGGTCAATTGTGCTGGATATGCAATGGCATCCAAAACTTATAATGTTCAACGCCATAAACCCCACTCCCTAGACTTATTTGAAAAAGTCATAAAAGTAAGTATGTTTGCCATCTACGACTTTATTGTTTTTCTTGATTTTTATCAATCCATGGTATTTTACTGAGTTCTGTGCGTGGTCTTAACCGTGCAGATATGAAGGTGTAGCCAATCCACTTTCAGTCGGTTATTTCCTGGTTTAAAACCCACTCCACTCTAGGTGGTCGGGTAATATCATAGACTTTCTCGCAGTGTATCTTATAGCCTAGTATAAGAATTTGTACTGATTCAACTATTGTTGTCATGCAGATTATGTTACTACAATGATTGGCATGTAGCTCATTTTATTCTGTGCCTGTGTAAAACACAGAAAGAGTATAGTGGGATACCAAAGAATACACTACACAAGATACAATGAGAGTTACATGATTTGCAATCACAGATTTTTAGATGATGGAAAAGGTCTGTGGCGCACGAGGACAGTTTCGCTGTTGTGTTCTCTGACGTGGATGGTTTAATCGTGAAGCTTTTAGGTGCCCATGCCGAGCCACCGCCTACCCCGACGTGCTGTGCTAGGAGAAGCTGGATTAGGCTGGGACAGGGTTCAAAGTGGCCAGACCAAGAGATGGCACCAGTCGATGAAGTCTCTAACTGTTGGTCTGAACCGTGTTGGGAAATCAACTGCTCCACTGGTGTCCTCGAGAATATTAGGAATCATTGGTTGATAACTCTTGGTGACATGGCTGAAGTTGGTCACAGTGGCGCAGTATATCCGGTCTTTGACATCTTTTAAAGCTTCATTATTTGCGCTATTATCTTCAAAATGTTTATCACACAACTTTTTCGACTTTGATATCACTTTTTATGTCTACTTGTTCTTTGTAAGCTATTATGAGGTGTGGCAAGTTGGACGGTTTCACTTGCATGCTAGGTTCTACGACGTTTTTCTTTATCATAATCGACAAAAATACTGTAGAGAAAAGAAGGCAAACCGGTCAAACTTAATGAATCCCCATCATTTCGAAAACGGTAAAGAAAGGATAAATCTTTATCTTTGTGCTCGATTTCAAGCCATGTCATCAAGAGTCTTCAACCATTCCTGTTACTTCAAGGACTATAGCCAGGCAGCTTACACACTCCCATACTACTGTGTGCACCAGCCAACGACTTCATGAACTGGTCCTATGTCGTAGTTCCACCACCAACCTTCTTTAAAATAAATTCCATCTCAGCTAATATAGCGTTTCGAAATAGGTAGTGGCTCTGTATGTGCCTCAGTTGGCAAGACTTGGCATCCCCATCGATTGATTTACCTTTACCTAGTACTCTACATCTAACCTCAACACTGCCCATACAGTGATTCCACTATATGCAAGCAACGCTACAAAGACACATATCATCATCATTATCAACAAAGGACCAGGCATTACTGCGTAACGGTCCGAGTTGCCACACCTCACGTCAGTTCATCAAGTAAAAAGGTAGTGAGGTGAAGGATGAAGATAAGTGAATGCAGTCAAAAGAAATATAAAGTACGAGAAGAAAGGAAAGAGGAGTGACAAAATGGTGAGATTCGGTATAGCGTTGTTAAGATGAGGATAATGTGTGTATACATCTGCGCCACTGACTTCGGTTCTGAGCCATATCACCTAGGGTCTCCAACCACTGGTTCCTCTTGTCCCGTGGACCCCAACCACCTAGTCTGCATCGTCCTACATGGCTTAAACCAACAGTCAGAGACTTCATACATTGGTGCCATGTTTTAGTCTGGCCACCTCGGGCCTTTTTCCAGCCTGAACCCACCTCAGCCAACATTGTGTGACGAGGCAATCGGTGACTAGGCATACGTAGTACGTGTCCCAACCATCTCAGTCGATGAAGGTTCACAACCTCGTCGACTGACTTACCTCTTCTCCCTAAAACTCTACACCTAACTTCTGCATTACTCACATGGTGACACCACGGAATACGTCCTATACTACGAAGGCAACGGTGGTCAAACACCTGAAGCCTTTTTATATCTTCCACTTTCAATGGCCATGTTTCACAGCCATACAGTAGAACAGAGCGGACTGCTGTGCAGTACACGCGACCCTTAATAGACAAACGAATATCACGGCGGCGCCATAGGTGGCGCAAATTGGCAAAAGCCAATCGAGCCTTTTGTATCCGTGCAGAAATCTCATCGGCAACTAACCCACCGGGTTGATCCTACTTCCCAGGTAAGTGAAGTGGTCAACACACTCAACCACTTCACTCTCTATTGTTAACCGCGGTACCGCTGAAGACCAGTCCTGGAGCAAAAATTTGCATTTGGGTGGTGAAAATCGCATCCCAAACATTCTCAAATTCCCACTCAAAGTGTTCAGAAGACTCTGCATCTTGTCAGCGTCTTCACCTAACAGGACTATGTCATCTGCATATTCTAGATCTAAGGAAAATTCACCTGTGATCGGGTCAACGTCTGTGTAATTAGGTGACGAGAGGGAAACCTCCATAAGAATATCTATGATAAAATTAAATAAGAATGGGGATAGTGGGCATCCTTGACGGACACCACTTGATGAGTATAGCTCCCTGGACAACTCACCATAGGCTCTAACATGCCCACAAGTGTTCGAGTAGAGAGCTTTCAATAAGGTGATGTACTTACTAGGCACGCCTTTCAGTGACAGACACTGCCATAAGACTTCTCGATCAACGGAGTCAAATGCCGCCTTCAGGTCGAGAAATACAGCTATTGTCGGGCGTCTGTAAGCATGCCTATGTTCCAGGACCTGGCGCAGTGTGAATATTTGGTCGATACATCCACGGCCAGGTCTAAAGCCTGCCTGGTTTTCTCGGGCTTGCTGTTCCCGAGCTCCACTCAGGCGTCGGAGAATTATAGAACTTAGGATCTTAGACACTATGTTTGTCAGGCTGATTCCTCTGTGGTTATCACAAGAGGACTTCTCGCCTTTCTTGAAGACTGGGATGATGAGTGACTTAGACCAGTCGGAGGGGATCGTATTTGATTCCCATATACTGGCTAACACTTCCGTTAGCCTGACTAAGAGAACTCTACCACCATTCTTGTATACCTCAGCAGGTAGTCCGTCTGGTCCTGCTGCCCTTCCCCGTTTCAGGCTACCTACCGCTTTCTCAACTTCTTCTAGTGTTGGGGGACCTGTCTCTATGTCCCATTCAGGGTCCGACTGGATAGCGGGCAGCGCAATGGTGGCTGGAGGCCAGTTAAACTGTTCCTCAAAGTGTTCTGCCCATCGTCCCAGTCGCCTTCCCTGCGAGTGAATCGCCGATCCGTCCTTCTCCGCTATAACCTCACTAACTGTTGTTGACCATTTCCCCCCAGTCTCCTTAATAAGTCTAAATAACTGTCTACTGTTACCGATCGCCGCTGCCTTTTCCATCTCTTTAGCCTTCGCTGCCCACCACTGTTCACGATCGTTGCGCAGACTTTTCGTCAGTCTATTTTTAAGTTGCGCTCGCTCTTCATTGTACTCAGAGCCTGCAGGGATGCATTCACGTGCATCCATTAGTTTGGAAGAAGCTGCTGATATCCACTGGCTCTTTTTAGCCATTATCTTGGAGTCGGCTACAGTCTCCAGTGCTGCTTTTACAGTAGACTGAAGATGGCACCAAGCTTCTTCTGGATGAGTGACAGTCTTTTGTTCCGATAACTGCCTAGCCAACTTCTCACTGAACACGGCTTTGGTGTTTTCGTTGTCCAGCAGAACTCGTAGTGGTTTTGTTGCCAAATTTTTTCTACGTCCATTGAGACGCAGGCATATACGTGCTCGGACCAACGCATGATCGCTGTCCAAACACGTACTCCAGAAGGAGCGGCAGTCTTCCACCGATCCTCTCCAGCGATGACTAATAGCAATGTGGTCTATCTGTGTCCATCGCTGAGTCGAGCTCGGTGGACGCCAGGTCAGACAGTGTCTTTTCTAAAATTTGTGCTGGCTAAAAATAGGCGGTTATCTGAGCATAGTTGTAATAGGCGATCACCGTTATCTGTACGTTCAGCTGGGATTCCGAAAGTGCCTTTCTGCCTCACTCAGTCTACCCACCTGTGCGTTGAGGTCACCTGCAACAACCACTACGTCCGAACGTTTGGCTTTCGAGAGGAGGTTAGACAGTTTATGGTAGAACTCGTCCTTCACTTCATCCGAACTACAGTCAGTGGGTGCGTAAGCAGAGATTACAAAGAGACAACGGCGAGTCTCACTATTCCTTTTAGTTCTCACTGTGCCGTTCAGCCTCATAGCGCAGAGGCGACTATCAACTGGGATCCAGTCTAGTAGTGAGTTTTCTGCCCTGGTGCTTAATGCTATACCTACACCGGCAAGACCACCAGATCTCCAGAAACTCGAAGGGTGAATTTTGTGGATTCACCAGATTGGTCAGGAGATGTCAGGTGAATAACCGCACTTGGTTCCTGTATGCGTGTCTCACAAACACAGCACACATCCATGCCCTGAGTTGCTAGAGTCTTTGCCAATGAAGCCTGTTGGCCATTTTGACGGAGAGTGCGGACATTGAAAGCTCCAATATGTAATTTGGAGCGTGGTTTAAGGTGACCAAGGATGCTGTTCTGTGGACTCAGATTGTTGTCGAAGGCTGCAGAGGTAGGAGGAATTAAAGATAATGTAGTTATGTTAATTGGGAGACGTGAAGGAAGATTAGGAGGTAATGAGAGGGGAAGTGGATAGCAGTCTGAGGAAACTTGAGTGCTGACAGAGTTGTGAGGGCGATTGATGGTCAAAAGGAAACGACAAATGAACCAACACCGCCGGCCCGGCAGACCGTGGGGCATGGTGGAGTGTGTTATTTTTGGGGCCGACCTTTTCTAACCCCCACCCACCCACTTCCACTGAGAAGGCAGCATCAGCATGGCACTGCTGGTCATCCAAGGGAAACACCTTACTGCTGTCACACCCCATCCAGCTAACGGCAGTACGACTTCGCCCTCAGATCCCCATCATAGTGTAGCAATGTACACTATAACGGTAACTGCTTTTCGTCTAACCACTATCCAGCAAACCTTCGTGGTATGGT